TGTTGACTTATAAGATGGATTCCCGAGTTCATACTCCTTTCAAAAGTTACAAATGAGCCTGCTACATGTCAATGCCTAAGCGGAACCCAAAGCCCTAATCGCAAACCATGAACCTTCAACCTTAGTCAGCACGACAGCTGTTCGAAACAGAGCTTTTCAATCATGCTCTAAGTAAAAGGAATATTTAGGGGCCTATGGGTAGGCCTACGGTTGATGGTATAAATCCTGCATTAGCCATAATAAGGAATATACCATGATTCCCATATTAGTTTAGGGTCCTTAAGGAAAAGCAGGATTTATATCATCAACCGTAGGGCTCCAGCTTTCTGAATAGAATAGTAGGCTACTAGCCATATATTATGTACCCCAGCAACCTGTTTTTCAGGTAACCCTAGGCTAAGCCAGCGGGCTGCAACCACGATGATGAGATGTCAAGCTGATTTATTCCACTACTGTCAACTTGTAGCCTTTTCACGACCGGAACGTGCCCAAGACCCCACAATTCCGGAACGTAGCTTATCTTGTAGAGGGCGAAGTCATTGTGCTTCAAACTATTTACTTCAGAGATAAAGCTCAAGTTAGACTTCAGGAATGCAGCATAAGATATAGAGGACTTCTAGTTTGATTGGAGTACCCAGAGACTCCAAAACCCCTTAATTAAGGAATATACCTTAAATCTTATTAGGGTTCCTATTATAATTTAAGGCATATTCCTTAATTAAGGGGTTTTGGAGTCTCTGGGTATTGGGCTCTCCGAGCATCCCTAGCCACACACCCTCCAACGTAGTTCCCCCACTGCCCCCTTGCATATGGCGTCCTCGTGTGGCTCTTTTTTGGAACCCTGAACCCTAAACCCTAAGTCCTAAGCCCTAAGCCCTAAACCCCTACACCCCTAAACCCTAAACCCGTAAACCCTTAAACCGGCCCTGTCAGTCCTTACTTCGTTTTTCTAGTAGTACTGCACAGAGTCGACACCTGGGCCCTGTAAAGAATTACTGGTTTAGGGTTTAAGTGCTTGTTTAGAGTTTAGTATTTAGGTTACGTACTTGTTTTGGGAAACTTCCTTACACAAGTCCCTACAAGGGTAGGTTATTGAGGTTCAGGTAGGTCTGAGATTCTTAGGGAAACGGACATCCCTTAGTTCGCTGACATTCCCATGTTCAGAAACCCTGGTATACCAGAAGGTTCAGGGTTTAGGGTGACGAGGGTTAATAGCGCTCTGCTGAACGAAGGGATACCGGAATCAGGGTCTCTAAACCCGGACTCACGTGTTTCTATTACCAGCTGTACTTGCAACACATACAAGTCAGCAGTCACTGAGCTAGGGTCATCCAACATTGGGAAGAAAAGTTGCTGCATTCTGCAAAAGTAAAACCCTAAAAGCCCCCTGACCCAGCCAACACCTCAAAGTCTGAAGTTGAAATCATTTAGAACTCTTAGAGGAACCTTTGTGGGAACCTTGGAAAGAACCCCTTTAAACAGTCCTGGAAATCCCACACATTCGGAAGACCCTAAGCCTAAAACCCCTAAGCCCCCAAACCCCAAAGTCCCCAAATCCCAGACCATCCGATTAAGACCTAAACTCTAAACACCGAAACCCTAAAATCCCCAAACCCACCACCATCTGATTAAGACCCTAAACCCTAAACCCCGAAACCCCTGAAGTCCCCAAAACCCAGACCATCTGATTAAGACCCTAAACTCTAAACACTAAAGTTCCCCAAACCCAAGACCGTCTGATTAAGACCCTAAGCCCTAAACCACGAAACCCCGAAAGTCCCCAAACCCAAGACCGTCTGATTAAGACCCTAAACTCTTAACCCCGAAACCCTAAAGTCCCCAAACGCAAGACCGTCTGATTAAGACCCTAAACTCTTAACCCCGAAACCCTGAAGTCCCCAAAACCCAGACCATCTGATTAAGACCTAAACTCTAAATCCCGAAACCCTAAAGTCCCCAAACCCAAGACCATCTGACTAAGGCAAGAACTCGGCTTACTTGACGCACGAGAAGGAGCTTGTTGAGAGGGTCTGTATTCCCAAGGGTCCCCGTAAACCTAACTCCTACTTATATAATTTCCTGTAGCTGAGGGTGCTCAGGGTAGTGCAGGGTAACTACTGTGCATCAGCATTTCCTGTCACTCGAATGTTACTTTTGAGTCAGTGTCTCTCGTAGCTGATACTGAGGATCCTACTACTCAGGATCCATATCGTGGGAAGAAACTGAAAGCCTAGGGTTCTGTTCTTCACCTACAGTTACAAGATGTGCCTACGGCCGAGGCTTTCCGATCCCATCCCGTGGCTTAGACTCTCTATAGTAGAGGCCAGAAAGTTGGAATATGATTATCCTCAGGCCCTTAAGGGTAAAGTAGAAGGCATCCTAGCACTAGTCCTCCTAAACCCATGTTCTAGCTTTCTGGGATTCCCTTTTAAAGCCAAGCCCAGATCTCCGACCCCCACCAGGACCTTTTTCACACGCTGACTATACAGACGTCCATAGTGGCTGTACAGTACCAACGGTTCAGGGTATAGAGTTTGGGGGGCAACCCCACTGCTACTTATGGTACCGCTACTGCCGCTAGTGCCACTACAGCCATTGCCAGTACTCGGATTAGGAGCACTTGGCTTTCATAAAAGCCTAAACAAAAGCAAAGACCTGCACTTTCGTTTGTTCCTCTTCATATTTATAACATAGAATACCCCAAAAAACCCTTCTATTTATTGAGACCCCAGCATTAATCTCGTTGCAAAGAAGCGAGAAGGAAGAGACAAAGAATGTCCAAACAAAGCGAGGCCTCTGTGACATCCATCATAAATTACCAAAACATTCCGCGCCCTAGAAGACCAGCACTCCTTATTGTGCTTTCCTCTTGCCTTATATCCTGAAAAAGTTATATAGGCTATTTGTGGTTCAGGAAGCCCGAACACAGAAGCGTACTGAACTCGAAATGCGAAGTGCGCCCCTCGTTCTGTGCAATCAACAAGGCCACGAACTCGCATCTTAAGGGAGCCTGAGGGTTCTTCTAGGGTTTAGGGGTTTCGAGATTGAGGTTTTAGGGTTTAGGGGTGTAGGGTTTAGGGGTTTAGAGTTCAGGGTTTAGGGGTTTAGGGTTGAGGATCTATAGTACCCATATAGTGGAATGCAGGGTTTCGAAAATAGGAATTACTATAGGTACTTAGGAGACCATTTGGGGGACTACGTGACCCCTGAAAAGACGGTCACGATTCCGTTATACTCTGAGTCCCTATTTTGTAACTGAAGCTTAAGGCCTTCAGCAGGCGGAGCGGCCCGTGTAAACCCTAAACCTTAAAACCTCAGCCCTAAACCCTATTTAAACCTGAGACCGTTGAGGGCTGCCCAAGCCTCTCTCAACCCTAAACCACTCAGTTGGCTCATGAGGTTTTGAGGTTCCCACCCAGGCTTCCCAAAATCCCTTAATTAAGGAATGGATCTTAAATCATGTTAGGGATCCTACTACAATTTCAGGTAGATTTCTTAATGAAGGGATTTTGGAAGGTCTGGGCATAAAACTCCTTTATACTTGCCCTGTCAGCCGTCCCCCAATTGCTTGCTGATCGGGTTTAGGGGGAGGCAAACAGGTACGTAGCCAATTGGAGAAAAGTAGGTTTCATATTCTTCTACGCAGAAAGACAAGTCTGAACATTTCTTGCGCTTGGCAGAGAGCTTCAGAGAGAGAGAGAGAGAGAGAGAGAACAAAAAGTGTGGAGACAGAGAGAGGGGGCGATCGGCGAAACAACTGACGAACTGCAAGGTCCTTTTAGCACATTTGCCGGTAATATAGGGGCCTTAATAATTAGAATAGGGTTTGGGGGGTATATGATACTGTAATTATAACAAGGAACCCCTAAAACCCTATTATTTAAGCCCCTTTCGTTTTAAGCAGCATTCCTTAAACTATCCTTGACTCAACTTGAGGCTTATGAAGCTTCAGGTTCCGAGCCTTTACTTAAACGACCTGTTGTACAGGAGTGCCGCCCAGAATGTCCGCCAACGCACTACCCAGACGGCTCAGAAAGCGAAGAAGGCTGGTCGGAATAACTCGCAATACTATTTCCTTAGAGGCTCTATACGAGTATACTACATGTATGGTTCTTCTTCTTAGTACATTGTTATCATACTTGTTTTTGCGGTGTCTCTGTTGTTTGCGTTTTTGTTGTTGCAGTATAGCATACCTCCCAGACCCTATTCCAGCTGGTATGTTTGTGGCTCTGGCTTGGGGACTTGAATGCCTTGTGGGTATGGCATGTGATCAGGATCCCCGTAAAGGTTACCCTCAAGGAAAATAGCATTAGACGTATATTATATCTATATATATATACATATGCATACATACACACACACATATATATATATATACACACACATAGACATATAGATATATGTAGACATACACACAACTACAGACAAGTATACTTAATCGTATGAACATTGCGGTGTTATGGCACTGCACAGAGAAAACAAAAGCATTCGTCAGTCGCAATCAGCCGGCGTTGGACGACATGATGGGCAGCTGTCAGTTTCCAGCACAGGTGGTGACGTTTGGTGTACTTGTACTGAAACTTGCTGAGTCATCCAGTTGCGCCTGCTGCTGCACGTTGTGCGTCTGCTGGCCTTTACTGAACCACTGGTGCTTCTGTTGGTGCTCATGCTGCTGCATCTGGTAGTTCTACCGAGTCTGCTGCTAGTGGTAATGCCACTCCTACGACTACGACTACTACGACTCCATGTGCGGCATTTCGATTGATCAATTTAGCCTTAGCTCGAGCTATAGTAGACACGGGCAGAAGCACTTGAGTATAGTGCATAAGCAGTGTTGTGCATCCGGGCGCCTACGTAGGTCCACAGTGATAGGCATCTCTGGTTCGATATTAGGACACGATGTGGAACACGAATGGTTGCAGAGTCATGCTTGTTCACAAAAAGGCATTAAGCTGGCTCAGCCGATATCCGTATGTCACAAGTAGTCGTGAATCAAGTAGATGTTACGCATACTCTCAGTGTCGGGGGAAGTCCAGCTCACGATTGAGTTGGCGAGCTTTTTCGAAACAGACGCTGCAGGGAGCTATCCCGTCCGGGCATTAAAACAACACTTGCAAGGCTTGTGCAGAAAGCCCAGATTCAGGCAACGGCTGGCATTCTTGGATGACGGCGAACTGTTGAATGACAATGGCGAACACACACTGAGACCAGGCGAAGTTCAGCTTGTGCTTCTCAACTTCAGTCCAACATCAGAATTGCAAATACGAGAGCTTCAGCATGCCGCAGAAAGTGGCCTGACACAAAGCGTGGAGAGTATTCTGCAAAGACCACAGGACCCGGATTTGAATTTAGGTCGGCCACCCCTGCTCGCAGCATCAGCAGAAGGGCACCTACAGGTTGTGCGCCTCTTGCTGGAGGCCGATGCTGACAAGAACCTTTCCACGAACGATGGCGCCACCCCTCTGTTCATTGCAGCTCAGCGAGGGCATTTGGAGGTTATGCGTCTCTTGCTGGAGGCAAAGGCCGATAAAGACAAGGCCAAGCACAATGGCACTACACCTCTGATCGTGGCAGCTCAGGAAGGGCATTTCGAGGCTGTAGGTTTCTTGCTGGAGGCCAAGGCCGACACGGATCAGTCCACGCATGAAGGCATCACTCCTTTATGCTTTGCAGTTGAGGCAGGGCACTTGGAGGGTGTGCGACTTTTGCTAAATGCACGAGCTGACGTGGACACTCTGACAGACACTGGCTCCACACCCTTGACATTCGTCGCTGAGCATGGGCACCTGGAGGTTGCGCGCCTTTTGCTAAAGGCACAGGCCGATGCGAACAAGGCCGTGATCAATGGCGCGAACGATGGTGCCACCCCTTTGTTCCATGCAGCTGCGGAAGGACAGTTGGAGATGGTGCGCCTCTTGCTGGAGGCCAACACCGACAAGGACAAGGCCACGAATGATGGCGTCACCCCTCTGTTCGTGGCAGCAGACGAAGGGCATTTGGACGTTGTGCGCCTCTTGCTGGAGGGCAAGGCTGACAAGGACAAGGCCATGAACGATGGCACCACCCCATGCTCCATTGCAGTCAGGCATGGTCACATGCAAGTCGCACACCTTTTGCAGGGCATGGGGTACACCTTTGGTCGGCATGCAGATTTGGTCGTGGCTGGCAGTGGCAAGACCACGAATGACAAGACCACGAACGATGGCTCCTCGTTGTCGTCCGTCAGCACAGGCAGTTGGCGAATGGGGCACACCTTGGGTCGACATGCAGATTTGGTCGCGGCTTGCAAGCGCAAGGCCAGGAATGATGTCTCGTCCTCTTCGACCGTCAGCAGGGGCAGCTCAGGAAGGCAGTAGCTGGAGGTTGAGCGCGTTTGCAGCAGGCCGCACGGACAAAGTCGTGAGCTGTTCCTGGGGATTCAGAAGCCTGCAGGCCCCTGGGGCTAAGGGCTTTAGGGGTTTCTGCAGGCCGACACCTTTTAGGGTTTATAGGGCTTAAGGTTTAGGGTTTCCTAGACCCCCAACTACCCTCTAATATTCCCTAAATCCCCACTATTAAGGACCATAAGGGCTCTTTTAAAGGCCTCCTGCGGGGTCCTGGTAAGGTTTAGGGTTTAAGGTGTAGGGTTTAGGATTTAGGTTTTAGGTTTTATGAGGTGATGAATAGGGCATACATGTAGGGTCAGGGTCATTTCATCGTTCCAAAGTCCACGGTTCAAGGTTCGAACAATGTGAAATTGTGCTTCAGGCCCCTAAGACGTGTTTTGGGGGCTGGGGGTGGTCCTCAACCCTAAACCGTTCTGGGGGCGGGTGGTACTGTTTGGGGTATCCTTCATTGGGACTTGATTTGGGCATTGAGTCCTGGACGCCTTGAGAGTTCATGGGTTTAGAGTGTAGGGTTCCAAGGACCTTATACTTAGGGCCCTAGGCCCTTTAAGGACCCAAGAATAAAGCCCGTGGAAGCATAGGGTAGGGTTTCGGGCTTAGGAGAATTTTTCACTTATGTAAGCAGGAACACCTCCGTCGACGTTTTTCTCAAACTCGGGTCGCATGCTTTAACTGTAGGAGAGTCATGTTGAGAAATTACGTAAACTGTGTAGGCTTTTAGGGTTTATGTGTCAAACAATTGAGATATGTAAGACCGACTGTTAAGAGTCACCCATAGCATCTGAAAACGGGTCTGAGTAGTTAGTACATGATAGTGGCCCCATATGGTCCCCATCTTCGTATATGGCTAAACAAGCCCCAAGACCCTTCTGACTTTTCAAACCCCTACAGTACATCTTAGGAATTATCGAAGCGCTTGCGGGGGTACTTGGGTTCTGGGTTTAAGGTTGCCCCCCAATGTTATGACATCAGGTGTACCCGCAGCCTCTGAACCCCCCCAACCCTAAACACCCTAAGCACCCTAATCACCCTAATCACCCTAAACCCTAAGCCAAACCACTACAAACCACTGAATTCTAAAACAGAAAGCCCCGCAGACCTCGACTTTTTCCAGCTCCAGGGCACCAGCGCACCCTTCTTTCAGGGCCTGAAGAATTCCTAGAAGCATCTTCTTATCGGCGGTACGTAAATCCTCAAAGGTCTATTTCAACGGGGCTCGCAGGGGCTTCGCGCAGGTTTCGGGTTTTGGGATTTGGGGTTGACGGTTTAGGGTCAAACCACCATGTAGAAGCAAGCCCCCCAATTAAACCCTGAACCCTGTAGCTATGTTAATCATGACATCTTACGGCCCTGTACCCCTAAAAGGAACGATAGCACCCGCCCTGTAACAGACGCAGGCAGATATTGCGTCGAGTGCCCCGGCTCCTGTTCGGAGTGTTCGGGGCCCTACAACTGCACGCAATGCAAAACTCCGACGCTCAGCTTGGTTTAGGGTTTAGGCTTTGGGGTACTTAGGGTTTTTAGGGTTTAGGCTTTAGGGTATTTAGGGTATTTAGGGTTTAGGGTTTGATGGCGGATTCCCATCAACTTATAGGTTTAGGGTTTAGGCTAAGGGACGGGGGGTTCAGAGGGTTCGCAGCTCCTCCAACATCCCTTCAGTAAGGAGTATAACACAAAGCATCCTTCTATAATTTGAGGCCCTAAACCCTAACCCTAGACCCTAAACCCTAAACCCTAGACCCTAAACCCTAAACCCTAGACCCTAAACCCTAAAGGCAGGTTCCTTGACGAAGGGAGTTTGGAAGGTCTGGGTTTCCCGGGTCTCTTAAATTCATCGGCTCCTTTAGGGGTCTTGGGTTTTGGGGTTTAGGGGTCTAGGGTTTAGGGCTTAGGGCTTAGGGTTTAGGGGTCTAGGGTTTAGGGTTTAGGGCTTAGGGTTTAGGGGTCTTGGGTTTTGGGGTTTAGCGTTTAGGGGTTTAGGGTTTTGGGGTTAAGGGTTTAGGGGTCTTGGGTTTTTGGGTGTTTACGGATTTGGGGTTTGGGTTTATAGGGGTTTGGGGGTTTAGGGTTTAGGATTTAGGGTCTTGGGGCTTGGCTTTAAGGTCTAGAGTTTGGGTACTGCCCCCATGCAGGAACAGTCTTGTAGGGCTATTATTAACGGCCTTATATATCCATATTCTGAATATTACTCAACTGTTACTGAGTGGGGGCAGTATCCAATCTAGAGTTCAGGTTTTAGGGGCTTCATTGTTCGGAGTATCGTTTAGGGTTCGGGAGGTTCCGTGACGAAGGTTTCGCGATGTCAAGACGTGGGGTAAACTTTTACGGCGACTTACAAAGCAGACTCTGACGCTTGCGGTGTTGAGGGGTGTAAGGTTTAGGGCAGGAGTGTCTGGGGTCGTTGAGGGTTTGGGGTTTAGGGGTTTAGGGATTTAGGGTTTAGTGGTCTAGGGTTTAGGGTTTAGGGGTCGTTGAGAGATCAGGCTTAGCTTGGTTAGGGCTGCTGATGTCAAGCTCTTCATAGCCCTTGCGGGCTTCCTTCGCCCTAAACCCTAACCCCTAAACCCTAAACCCCTAAACCCTAAACCCCTAAACCCTAAACCCCTAAACCCTACACCAATAAACCCTATCCCCCTAACCCCCTAAACCCCTAAACCCCAAACCCTAAACCCCTAAACCCTAAGCCAATAAACCCCTAAACCCTAAACCAATAAACCCTGAACCCCTAAACCCCTAAACCCTAACCCCCTAAACCCGAGGAGGCTCGGAGGCTCTGCGGGGTTTTGTAGTGCTCTCTGTACCCAAGACGACTTTCAGACCCGTCATGTCGGTAGTTCGCTAAGTTAGGGTTCCTTTGTTTATATGTCCCGATAGTACTGAACCCTTATACACGAGACCCCAAACAAGGGGGCCCTAATTTAAAGAATTACCTGCACGTCCAATCAGGAGCAGCTTTGCTGCTGTATATGCACCGTCCAACCCTCTTCCCGCTGCGCGCTATACCCCAACCTACAGCCCAAACCTTCAACCCCCAAACCCTAAACCGCAAATGGGGGTTGATCAGGATAGCGGACCAAAAGGGGCCCATAATTTTGATCAACCCCCAAATGTTAAGCCCTAAACAGAACTGAGTAATCAAGCATGCCGGCTAATGGAACTGTGCGGGAGGGCGTCAGAGCCTTTGAGTGGTGATATCCAGGACATTCTACTAAGTGGCTCTAATCTCCAATACTTGGGTCGAGGTTTTCGGCTTGAAGGGTAGCTTAGCACTGCAGTCAATACGGGGTTTCAGCTTGTTCGAGCTTTAGAGGTTTAGGGTTTAGGGTTTAGCGCTTAGGGTTGTGGGTTCTGTTTGTTGGTGTTTAGGGCTTCGGGGTTCTATAGGCTTTTGTGCCCGGAGGACATTCCTCACCGCGCATGGCACTTGCGATTCTTCATGTCAAGAAGGCGCACGTTATGCTCTTCACCCATTGTCACCTTAGTAGTTCCTTTTGGGATTACCTTGTAGGATTCTAAAGATATAAACCATTAACAAGGAACTACTTAACTACTTAAGGCCACATTCGGCTTCATGGCTTCTGCCAGGGATTGCCAATGTCTTAGTAATTTGGCAACAACGCAAATTGTATCCCCTGCTAGGCCATTTATTTCAGGTTTAGGGTTTATTCGGGTATGGGGCTTAGGGTTTAGGGATGCTATATCATTGTATTTCACTTAATTCTCGAACCATACTCTACTCATTGAGGATAGGTTGCCCGTTTTTGTTCTATACAACTAGGTACAGCTGTTCTTGCGACGGCATGTTGCCAAAGGAGGGGCCAAAATCCTGATTCTCCGAACCTTGCACGGCAAGCTCAACATCCTTAGCAAGCCCCAAACCCTGAAACCCTCTGGAAGTTTCCTTGGCAGTAGGGTTAGAAGACATGCGTTCCTCAAGTCTGATCCACATACAACCAGAGAATATAGCCGAAACCTTAGGAGGCTGGCAATTTTCATGTATACCTGGACCCCAAAGAACCTGCGTTTTAGGGCTCCTTGCTATGATTTCTTTATATAAACCCTAAACCCTAAACCCTAAACCCTCCCACAGTCCTGGAGATCCTTGAGCCCTAGACCTTAGTTTAGGGACTTGGGGTTTAGGGCTTTAGGGGTTTAGGGCTCTAGTTCAGGGTCTAATCGTCCGTAACCCTACTGGAACCCCACACAACTGGGCGTGTGTTGTTGAGGACTTATGCCATCAAATCGTAGAGACGAAGCCCTCAAAAGCAGGTTTTCTAGAGTACCCTAAACCCAAAACCCGAAACCGTCCGGTAATCCCTACCTCTTTCAACCCCATGCTTCCCTACGCCCTAAACCTCATGTTCCTCCCTACCTTTAGTCTCCACCGCACTGTACCTCTTTTTGGCTTAACCTTAAACCCTAAACCCCTTAACCCCTAAACCCTAAACCCCTAAACCCTAAACCCAACCCCTAAACCCTAAACCCCTAAACCCTAAACCTTAAACCCCTAAACCCCTTAAGCCCTAAACCCTGTCATTGTTATTCAGGGTCCCAGGAGATTCCCCTCAAAAGGAAGAGCTACAATGCAGACTAGAGCGACTTGGGTTTAGGTCTTAGGGTCTAGGGTTTAGGGTTTACTGTTTAGGTTTTAGGGTCGACCTAGACCCCAAAGAACCTACCCTTTTAAGCATTTATATAAGGAAATCATAATAAAGAACCCTGAAAAGGTAGGTTCTTTGGGGTCCAGATAGGGTCTAAGCCGCGCGAGGCTACTACTCTGAGGCTGGCCGTGATGTGCACACCTACTGGGGCTTGAAGGCCTCTCGGTTGCAGCAACTTCCGCTTTTCTCTGTGGTTTGGGGTTTAGAGGTGCAGATTCTTTCAGGGTCCAGGTGGGGTTTATGAGTGTGGGGGAGGGGGGGGGACTTGGAGGTGTTACGCCTTGTGCTGGAAGCCAGTGCAGACAAGGA